TCTCCCTTGTGCACAGTGCTGAATAAAAAACCACCTGCTACTCACAGAGACAAGTCTGGGGGTAGTTCTTTTCCAGCCTTTTCTCAGCATCAACAGGATGAGAGGAAACAGCCTCAAGCTGTGCCAAGGGAGGTTTAGTTTGGATATTGGGAAAATTCCCCATGGAAAGGTCTGCCCAGCCCTGGCACAGCTGCTCAGGGCAGTGGTGGAGTCCCCAGCCCTGGAGGGATTTAAGAGCCATGGGGATATGTGGCACTTGGGGACATGGTTAGTGGTGGGCGTTGCGGTGATTTGTTGGACTGAATTAACTTAGATTTTCAACCTAAATGATTCTATAATTCTACTGCTACAAGATAAGATCTAGATTTTATCCAGAGGTTGTTGCTCCAGGGCTCACTCTGACTTGTAAATCTCTGTGGCAAGAGTTCCCTCCGAGCTGACAGGCCCAGAAACATGGAGACAATCTGTGTGCCAAATGGAGACACAACCACAGGATCAATCAGGTTGGAAAAGATCTCTGAGACCATCAAGTCCAGCCCATGAGCTAACACCACCATGGCAACTAGTCCATGGCACTAAGTGCCACATCCAGTCTGTCCTTAAACACCTTCCGGGGTGCCACCTCCCTGGGCAGCACATCCCAGTTTCTGGGAAGAAATGCTTCCCAATGCCTGACCTAAACCTGCCCTGGTGGAACCTGAAGTGATGGAGCTCTGCCCTTCCCAGTGTGAGGCTCACACCACTGCTGAAAACTGAGCCACGCGGAGAGAGGAAGGAAGGAGCTCAGCAAGGAGAGATCTCCACCCACTCTTTTCACCCATGAGTCACTTGACCTGGGACTGGATTAAAAGACAGAAGTAGAAAGAGGACAGGAGGTGTTTGCAGAGCCACTCCCCTGCAGACAGGGCCTGAGGACAGGGCAGAGCTCAGGGCCAGCTGCAGTGCCAGGAAAGCCTCAGAGCAACTTTTCAGTACCTGAAGGGCCTACAAGGAGCCAGAGAGGGATCTGTGCTAGGAGCTGCAGGGACAGGACAAGGGGTAACAGGGAGAGATTGGAAGGGGGGAAATTTAGCTTAGATCTCAGGCAGAAGTTTTCCCTGTTGTGGTGGTGAGACACTGTGCCAGGTTGCCCAGGGAGGCTGTGGCTGCCCCAACCCTGGCACTGTCCATTCCAGGTTGGATGAGCCTTGAGCAACCTGCTCTGCTGGGAGGTGTCCCTGCCCAGGGCAGGGGTTGGTGGGAGATCTCCAAGGTCCATTCCAACCCCTAAAATCTTACCATTCTATGCTAACAAGTGGGGAAACAGTTGACTGAACACACCTATGAAACAGTACCCAGTGGTGTTTCTTTCAAAAAGAAATAACTATTCTAAGATTAAGAATGACTATTCTATAGTCTATAAGAAATGACTATTCTAAGCTTTGCAGAATGCTGTTACCTAAACATCAAGATGTCTTTTTAAATCACGGTCTTCTGTTCTGTTGAGACACTGTGCCAGGCTGCCCAGGGAGGCTGTGGCTGCCCCAACCCTGGCACTGTCCATTCCAGGTTGGATGAGCCTTGAGCAACCTGCTCTGCTGGGAGGTGTCCCTGCCCAGGGCAGGGGTTGGTGGGAGATCTCCAAGGTCCATTCCAACCCCTAAAATCTTACCATTCTATGCTAACAAGTGGGGAAACAGTTGACTGAACACACCTATGAAACAGTACCCAGTGGTGTTTCTTTCAAAAAGAAATAACTATTCTAAGATTAAGAATGACTATTCTATAGTCTATAAGAAATGACTATTCTAAGCTTTGCAGAATGCTGTTACCTAAACATCAAGATGTCTTTTTAAATCATCTACTTTTGCCACAAGGTAAGAAAGATCTGTGTTATTATGTCACTGAGGACAGGCTGGAGGTGGTACTCAGTGCCATAGTCTGGTTGCCTTGGTGGTGTTGGGTCATGGGTTGGACTCAATGACCTCAGAGATCTTTTCCAGTCTGATTGATCCTGTGATTCTTTACCTCCACGGAGTAATAAACCAAGTTGAGTTCTTGCCTTCCCCCAGCCAGCAAACACACCTGTGGCCACCCCATACCTCTGTGAAGGTGTAAGCCTCCTCTGCTGTGCACTCAGCCTTCACCGTGGGGTTACTCAGGGCAAAGATGATGGGTCTCTCGTTGATGGAAGCCATGGCTTTGATCACTCCCTGAGAGAAGAGCCTCCCAGCTCCTGCCACTCCTGAGGGAACACAGACAGACAGAGTCAGCACCAGGGTCTGCAGGTCGAGTTCATGTCACCCCTGAAGTCTCAGAGCAAAGCACTACAAGCTTCTCCAGCAGCTGGAGATGGAAACCAGGCACTGCTTGTGGCTGCCTGGAATGCACAGTTCTCACAGGAACATCTAATTCAGTGGTTCCCTCACCCTATTTAACCAGATTTTTTGGTATTGATCCGTGGAAAGAAGAGTGCTCTGGATAAGCAAGTGGGAATTCCAGGCTGTCCACAGATGATTCATCCTGGCTGGGTGTTACCTGTGCCTGGTGTTTCTGACCTCACCCAAAGCCACAGAGGTACAAACACACAAAAACGGTGCATATTTGTGCCTCAGTGCAGAACTCAGCCAAAAACACCTCTTCTTTCCCAAATCAATCACGTGCAAAGGACAATGCAGTCGTGCCAGGAAATACCTGTACTCCTGTGTCACCTCTGCAGACAACCACATCAATAAGCAGCTACAGGTGTCAGTGACCTAACAGGTGTTGTGGTTATCAGACAGCTCCTTTAAGCCTTGCTGCTGGCAGAGTCTGTCTGTGGTTCTCCTCCTCTGCTCTGCTCTGTGAGGCCCCACCTGGAATACTGCATGGAATAATGGTGTCCTCAACATAAGGAGAACATGGAACTGCTGGAGCAAGTCCAGAGGAGGGCCATGAAGTTGGTAAGAGGACTGGAGCATCTCCCCTATGAAGACAGGCTGAGGAAGTTGTGGCGGGTTTCCCCCGGGGTGGA